CCCCAAAACCCCAAAACCCCAAAACCCCTAAAGATAAATAACTCATAAATTTAGATAAAATGAAAAATTAAGAGATTTAAATGTAATATTTAATGAAATTTAAGATATTGATATTTATAAAATAAGTAGTTTGCACAATCTTTTTTCTTCAAATTATAAAATAACTCAATATAAGATATGGTAGAAATGTCAAAGTCTGATTATTCAGAACCTTTTCTAGAAGGGTAGGAGTAAAGCTAGGTAGAAGACAGTATGATTAGTAAGGAAATCTTACCTAAAGATTATCAGTGGATTCTTGAGAAGTTTAAGGAAGTTGATTATTCAAATCTTGAGAGTAGAGTAAAAAAACTTCCATTTTACTTGGAAAAAAATAAAAACATAAAGATAGAGTAACTTATAATCTTGCCTCATAGAAATTTGATCTTGGGACATTATTCATATGATCACCTTCATGACGAATATTATATTGACTTCATAGATCTTAACTCATTTAAAACAGTTAAGACGATTGAACTGTTTAAATGCTGCGAAAAAAGTAAAATATTTCACTAAGTTTTCAATGATGTTGATTACATTTTCTATTAAGAGAAATATCAGAGCATTTTTCTTGTCAAATTAGATGATATTGATAATAGAGAGGAGAAACATTTGATTGAGATCAAATTCGATGACAATTGGCAATTCTTTAAAGCTAATATCCTTGATGAATTCACAATCTAGATGACGTCAGGAGTGCATTTTATAATTTTAAAGCTCAATGATAAATCCTTAAATCAATTAAGTTCAGATTAAAAACTTAAATTTGAACTAAAATACATAAAGGAATAAGTTTATATGAAGTAAAATTAAAATATTTCCAATCAGCTGTTTTTTAAAGATAAAAGTTAAAGCTTTTATCAACTTAAATAAGAGGACCATATTGAATCACCAACTTACTTTTTTGATGATGCCAAAATAAAAAATCATTATGTTATGAGAGATCTATCTAGAACATACTTTCTTGATATTGAAACACTATTGATATAAAAACAATTCGATAAAAAGTACTATGTTGTCAAGTATCTGGATCTATACGAGTATCTTATGGATGAAGATTTCAATCTTTATAAATATGATAACTCTGATAAGATAGTCTTAAAGAAAGTGCAATCATTATATTAATCCAGCTTGAAAAAAATGTACAAATTGGTAGCATCTCCAAATTCAATAGTATTCGTTTTTAAAGATGAAGCTGAATTTTTCATTAAAGATTTAGATACTAATTACTCTGCTTTGGCATTTGACTCTAGAACATTTTAACTTATAGATCATGCTTAAATTTAGATAACTAATGATTACAATACTCTAGGAATTGATATAGAAAATAGTAAATTATACTATAAATCTCAAAATGATTTGTTTATTAGCTATGTCAATTTTGGCACAAACTATTCAAAATATCATTAAATAGTTCCTGTAATAAATTAAGATAAGCACATTTGTAAAAATGATTTCATATATTTTAGGGATTGTTACCTAATGATTAAATCATAGTAGGATGAAATTGCTGTGATTTAAGACCTTAATACTGGGATTAAGAAAGAATTACCTATATAGTTTGGCGACAACTTTTTTTCATATGTTTAGAATGATTAAGATATTCTTAATGATAAAAACTTCAACGAGATAATTTAATCAAAGTATATAGATTAAAACAAATATGAAACAGTTGAAAATATATGCTCAGAAGATATATTGATTAAAAAATTTGAATATGAGATATATCTAAATGGAAATCGCTAAGTGATTTGGGATGAATTTCGAAATTAGTCTGGGGAGGAATATGGTTACCCTGACGAATGATTTTGCATAATGCTAAATCGATTTTGTGAAAAATAATATATACTTGAAATTATAGATGATTACACAATTAACTATTATGATAAAAAAACTCAAAAATTTACAAAAGTTGAAATGGTAGACAGTCTTAAAGATTCCTATTATCCTAAAACTGCATATTTAGACGAAGAAAAGGGAATCATAGTAATTAGATATCCATTCAATGTTAAAATCTTTAATCTTAATACTAAATGGAGAATTCAAGAAATATATGGTATAATGAAAAATCATTCGATTTTTATTGGCACAAATTATGTCTAAGTTAATTGTGATTTTATATCGAACATTATATTCTTTAAGGATAAAAATGTAGACAAATTTGTTAAAATTGAATATCCATAATCATCTATGTAATTAGAGATCTTTGACTGCTATTAGAAAGATATTAACTAAAAAGCTTATTCAATGGTTAGAACAAAAACTAAAGATGATGAATCTGAAATTTATACGATGATCTCTAAGTCATTTGAAGAAATGTTTAATGAGGAATCTCTTACTCAACCTATATTTCCTGCCTTCTATTTTGATTATGCTAACAAAATAATTATTGATTCAAGTACGGTTAAATTCTACATATAAGATGAGTAAGAAATGGTTGGCTAATTAGAAATTGAAATAACTGACTAGTTGATAAAATACTATAGATATATGCATTGGCAGAATAATTAAGAGATCGTTAAAGAAATAACATCTAATGTAGACAACTACTTAAAATTTGTAGCTGGATTTGGAACAGGTTTCGGTGTTTTCTAGAATAACTTAGTAGCTTTGGAAACTATCGCAAAATAGCTTTCACTAAAAGATAAGCAATCTATACCCATTTTAATATGCTAGAAATTGTTGGGTGGAGAATCACCTTTAGATTTTTGCATTAATGCTCATCAGCAAAAAATAATCAACCTTATGATCTCAATGATAGTCAAATATTAGGATCATATAATGTTTAACAAACTAATTGACAAAAATTTATGCAAACTTATCAAACAATAAATAGATTTGCAAGAATACTTTGAAAGTAATCTTCCTACTTATGAAATAATTGTCCCATTAGTATATCCAGGTTAGCATCATAATGAAGAAGAAATTGTGGTAGGGAAAACTTTAGCTCATCCAAAGGATGTTCATGAAAAATATGATGAATTATTCGGAATAGATTTATTAAAATCAAAAGTTTAAAATGAATCAATGGTTTCTATTGAATATTATTTGATAAATCTTCCAGAAACTTTGACAATCAATCCAAGAGAGATAATGAAAGAACTTAGTGATACAGGAAGACCAGAATACTTTGAGAACAAAGCGATACAAACTATAATTAACTTCAAGTGGAACACTTACACTAAAAATTTCTACCAGAAAAAGTTCTACATTTACTTGATATTCATGGTTACTTTCATATTTGACATCTTCTACTCAGCTTATTCAAGAAGTAGTGATGTTAAATAAGGCACTGAAGACGATCTAAAAGTAATCAAAGAAGAAACTTAAGTATCTGAAGTCTCAGAACCAAATATATGGGTCAAAATTGTAACAAAAAGTGTTTGTACTGTTATACTTATTTTCTTCTTGATACATGAAGTGCAACAATTAATTATCTAAAAGCTAAGCTATTTTGGCGATGGGTGGAATTACTTTGACTTTACCCATATCATTACCTTTATTTTCTTTTGCGTAATTGACTTTACAAATGAAGACTCAGATAATTTAATCTTAATTAAGATCCTGGTGATAGTCCTGTCATTTATGAAACTTTTCTACTT